TTGATAGGCCCTTTTTATGAATCCGCTCAACCGCGCAACCGCAGGATTCGACACCTCTCCCCGAATTATAGCAGGGCGTGGAGCTCTTAAACCGTTCTGCTTGGCCCGATGATGAATATTCTTGACCTACAACCGCGGAGATGAAGATGCTCCGCGCGGTGCGAAGCCTCGGCGAGAATGTGGCCGCCGGAGGGCCCGCACGTTGACACAGAGGCCCCCGACGGCCCGTGGCCTTCGTTTGCGGTCAGCCCAAAACGAGGATGACCTAATATTTACATTCGACCGTTACGTCACGTCGTTGCATCACCGTGGTTGGCAGATTTTGTCGAAAAATCAGCACCGTCACTGCAAAAAAAAATTCTCGGCGTTTTTACCAAGGTTCGTTGGTACCTTTACCATCTCAATTGTTTTACCAATTATTGGTAATTTTATCAGTACAGACTGGTAAGCTTACCTAAAAATCGGTATTTTTACTGTTTTTTTTCAGGTAAGAATACCACTTTTATTGGTAATCAATTCCCGGTAACTTTGCCATTTTATCTCGGTAATTCTACCCCAGTTGATAAAAAATATTGGCATTTTTACCAATGTCCAGTAAAATTATCGAAAAAGTTCAATAATTTTACTGAGATTTCTCGGAAAATTACCAATACCATAAATGGTAATTTTACCAAGAAAAACTGGGATCAAATAGAATCCTGAATTCTTGGTATTTTACCCTTTTCTTAGTAAATACACCGAGATTTTTCTTTCAGTGTGTAGCCAGTCTAACTGTATTAAACCCAAAAATGAGCTTTTCGCGGAAAACCATACTAGAAGACCTCCTGGTTGCTTAGAGAGAAATTTCAACACAAAAGGTTGGTTAATACGGAAAATAAAACACGCAATCGTGAAAATCACACCCTTGCCTTCGGTTGAAAATTGCATGAGGAAATGCCAGCTAGTGTTCTCGACAAAATTTAATAAGAAAAACTATTAAACAACTAGAACTATTAAATGACTACTCCTAATACTATTAAAGTATTAAATAACTACTAATTAACTAGAAACGAGTGGTGAATACCAACGTCGGAATCGGAGAAATGCATTTTCCTAGTCTCTCCATTGATTTTTGCGCTAAGTTCACCGCAAACTGTACCAAAATCAACACAAAATGTATGTTGGTTCGTGTTTCACCTCCTATTATACCAAAAGTAACGCAAGAACACAAATATTTTTAGCAGTGTGATTGTTCAATTTATAGGAAAATTTATGGACAAAGAAGCCAAAGAGGAAATGATGCGATCGTATCAGTGAATGCGGATGGTTGTAATGGACAAAGGGGGTATGTGATAGATAAACTAACGGCATCCCACGATAGACTCTACTAGGGGGCTACGCCCCCTGGCCGCTACGCGGCCCAACCCCCCGAAGGCGCTCCGCGCCATCAATGGGCCGCTTCGCGGCCCTATTTTTACCCTCCTATTAGTATTAGTTTTATTTTCCCTCTAAAAAAATTCGATATGAGGTATACTTTATAGAATGAAATAATTTTTGGTTTTGATGAATAAAGAAAAAAAAAATTTTTGAAGTCAAAAGGACGCGTTTTGGAATGACTGCTTGATGAAATATTACAGTAAAACAACGAACAGTTTGAATCAGGTAATTTTTAAGTATCTCTGGAGTCGGGGATCGAACCCACACCTTGATCGATGTGGACACTTCCGACGTCGTAGACGACTCGGCCACCGCTCATCTTGAGGTAATCGGCGGAAATCTTGTGTAGATAAGTGTAGAGCTGATGCGCAGGCTACACACCTACTGTGCAACCTCCTCGACCACTGCGCATCCTCCCGCGCATAGCGGTAGCAGTCCCGGAGCACTCTGTAAATTCACTCACTTTTGTAACGTGATTTTAAAAAAACCTGGGTCCTTTTTCCAAAATCTGATTAGAGCGGGCTCATCTAGAGCCTATTACCTGTCGATTTACGCAAAAATCATGGAAATCGGCCCAGTAGAATGCTCAAACGAACTATGACAAAACACGTAAATTTACATTGTTTATATGGGAGAATTCGCAACTTTACCACGTAATATAAAAAAACCTAGGCCATATTTTGAAAATCTGAAAAGAGTTGGCTTATCTAGAGACAATTGCCCGTCGATAGCCGCAAAAATCATGAAAATCGGCCCGGTGGAACGCTGGAACTAAGCGTCACCAGTTTCGCAAAATTAGGAGGTCTTGGAGCTTATAGTATAGATAGTTAGTCCATTATTTGCCCCTTAAGTCTATAACGAACTACTGTTTCAACCAATAGGATCGCCATATTTTCTTCTTGTCTCTTTTGTCTTGGGCTGTGTCTACCAATTTCAAAAATTCTGCACCTGAAACCCCCGAAAATTAAAAATTTTTTTAAAAAGACATCATTCTTTTAGGTTTTTCTGTGCAAAAATCTAACAATCCAGAAATCTAAAAATCAGCTCCAGTCTCTCGGATGATCGGTGGCAATTTAACGAAGAACGGTGACTTCTCTCCATAAAATTTTCCGCTCTGAAGCTTCTGGGCCCATTTTCTCAAAACTTCATGTTTGCGCTTACGACTCTCTTCCCTATCACGGCAGTATCACACCGACGGATTCAAATACGAACATTTTATTGAGCAATCTGGCAACTGTTTGCATCGCCCGGCGGCACGAGCCGGAGTGCACGGGTGCAGGAGCTGAAAACTGATGGACCATCGGAGTCTCGACAGGTCTCACGTTCCGCAGCGCATCAGTTTCGGCCCCGCGCGAAAAGATGGGAAGAAGCGTTCGAACCATCACTGTCCGGTGCTAATTTTTCACGTCTTGCGATGGTGAATGAAATTGAGTCAATAGACGGGCAGTCGTGAGCGTGAATACTAATTCTCGTGGTGCAGTCTCGATGCGCTGAGCGCGGGTCCCCGAGCTGGAGATGCTATTCTTGCAAGCGTCATCCTGATTTGCTAAGAAAGAGCTTCGTACGAGTCCTCAAACGTTTCCAAATTTCGTTTGACGAATGACGAATTTCCGGGAAAATTTGTCAATACTTTTCTCCCGATTTTTTAGAAAATTTTGTTCGTGATTTGATGTAAAGTATCTTAAAATTTCCTTGAAAAATACGCATAAATTCCTTCAAAAATAATTGTTTCCCAAGAGGAAATTTTGCAGCGTTCTAATGCTCGTATGGCGTTTTTCCTATTCGTATTAGCACGGCAATATCGTTTCGCTAGGAAAAAAGAGTTGCGAAAGACCGAAGTGCACGCTTACTGTATTGTGTCACTGTCAGGTTTTTCAAAAATGGCAATGGCAAAACGCAGTGGCACACCATGATTTCTTCCACCTTGGAAGCAACAAGTAGTACTACAGACATTTGAAGCGTTGAGTTGGAGAAAGGGATTTTTCGGTTGCGGTGTTTCAAAATCTCCAGTGCTAATTTATACTTAAGAGAGGATAATATTTGGGTGGATTTTCTGAAATTTTACGTTTTCAGCATCGTAAAATCATTAAGAATATCCATAAAAATGGCAACGAATTACATACATTATTGCTCTAATCATCAAGGATGAAACGTTAGTGAAGATTTTGAGACACCGCAATCAAAAAATTCCCTTTCTGCACTCAGCCCTTCATTTGCGCAGGAGTCAATAAAAGAGGTCGGACATGACATTTTTTACTTAAACTGCAAATTTTGATGTTTATTTCGTCATATTCTAAATTTCAAGGATTGCTTCTGAAACAAAACTTCACGAGGAAACCAATGGAACCACATTTGGAGCCCTGAAGTTCGTATTAACGGAGTTATGAGCGTTTAAAGTTTCCAAATTTTGTCCGACTTCTCCTATTGACTCGATCCACTGTGTGACGGTTGCACAGCGCAACTAACCCTTTTGCATGCCCATTCTGCCGCGCTAAGAAAAAACGCCGCATGAACCTTTCGGCGTTGCCAAATTTCCTTTGATAAAACATGACTTCTCTGGAAAACTTGCGAATATTTCCGCTCTAGTTTTTCAGATAATTTTGTTGGTAATTGGGCCTTAAATTCCTGAAAATTTCAAGGAAAAATGTTCCTAACTTTTCTCACGAAGAAACATTTTTTCTAGGGGAATTTGGCAACTCTCGAATGTTCATATGGCGTTTTTCCTTAGCACGGGAGTATTAGGGTGGAATTTGTTTCTAGTAGAGTCCCTCTATACTGAGAGTCAAGACAACACCCCCTCATGGAGTCACAAACGGGAATAAAGATTACACAAATTGAACGTTTTTCGTAATCTTTGATCGGCCCATTCTCGAATTCCTTTCTCCGTTCCTTCTCTCATTCCGTTTGTTCCTTGCCGAACCCGTAATTCCTCGGTCCATTCCAGATTATAATCTTTGCAATCGGGGAAAATGTAATCTTTATTCCCGTTTGTGACACTGTGGAGGCCTAAAATACGGCAACCGATCAGAAATGGATTCACATTGTCTTGACTCTCAGTATAAAGGGACTCTAGTTTCTAGTAGAGTCCCTTTATACCCAGAGTTAAGACAACTCGATTATCAGCTGACTGGCAGCCGGCCTTGGCTGGCCATGGAGGCCGAAACGAGTGCACCCAAACGAACGATATTGAGGGATAAGGATCAGGAATCCTGCGATGTCTGTCACACAAAAACAACAACATCAACAAATTGATCAATTTAAAAGAAAATGAGATTGGTTTGTGAATAATTTCTTAATTTATTTTCATTTTGGACCGATGGCAATAACAATTTACTCTTGATAAACCACAATTAGGTAATATTTTCATTATTCTTGTTCACATTCAAGGCACCGCCATCTTGGTGCACTCGTTTCGGCCTCCATGAGCGAGAACCAATGAGAATTGGATTTTTTTTAGGCCACTTTCAGCCCAACCCTGGCCCAACCAAAAGTGAGTTGTCTTAACTCTGGGTATAAAGGGACTCCAGTTTCTAGTTCGGGATGGAATTGGGACTGTTGACGATGTTTTGTTTTGGTTGTTGCAGCCGGAGGAGAACCGGGCGCTGCGGCTGAAGGACAGCGTGAGTCTGGGGCTCCTGGGGATGATGGACTCCTCGGCGGCGGCCGGCGGGACGTTGGAGGATGTGAACGAGGTCTCGGTGTCGACGTCGCCGCAGCTCCAGCCGCAGTCCAGCGTGGACTCCCGGCTGTCGTGGGCTTACTTCGACGAGCGGGGCTACATCGCCGGCGGCGCCCTCAAGCCCGGCGAGGACCCCTACTCCAGGAACAAATTCAACCAGAAAGCCAGCGACCAGCTCCCTAGCAATAGGAACGTCCCTGATACCAGGAACGAAATGTAAGCACTCATCCATAGAGAGAAAAAAGGAGGTGTTTGCATCTTGAGGTTTGTTTACCCTGTGACGTAGGTCGGTACAACCTAACCAGCGAAATCCGGAATTCGAAGTATGAAAAACGGACCATAATGTCCCATTTTTTTGCTCAAATCAACTCATGATATAATTTTAAGCACTTTTCATAGATTGACTTTTTTCCATAAATCACACCATTTCCAAGAAAATCGTGATAAGAGTCGCTGTACCAACCTACGTCATCAAAAAAATTCCAAGATGCCCGAAATGCAAACACCTCCTTTTTTTTCTCCATGGCACTCATCATTCAAATACTCTCCGATGCAATATGAAATGAAAAAATTTCAAATGCACTTGTTTCATTTTCCCGAGAAAGTTTTACAGATATTTAAAGAAATTTCGGTATGAAATGGACCGAGTTTATCAGAGAGGAACCAACCCGCATTTTCGAAAAATTTGAGTTAAGAATGTTTTTGAGTTGCACTAGTCGTATATTTTCTCCCGCCAAAAACTGAAAGTCGAAAAAAAATATTAATTTGTGAAAAGAGGAATTGAAGCTTTATTTTTTACATTAAGCCCTTGGACCCTTACCCCAGGAACAAATTCAACCAGAAAGCCAGCGACCAGCTCCCTAGCAATAGGAACGTCCCTGATACCAGGAACGAAATGTGAGCACTCATCATTCGAATACTCTCCGATGCAATATGAAATGAAAAAAATTCAAATTCACATGTTTCATTTTCCCGAGAAAGTTTTACAGGTATTCAAGATGATTCGTCAAGCTCAAGTGACGTGCTCGAACTGGCGTGCGATGTATCGCAATAATAAGGTAAAAAATCTCGGCAGATTTTGAATTTTTAGCCAAACAAAGGACGATAGCCCCTGCGCTAGAGCCTAAAGAATCATTCGAAGCCCAAGAATGGGCAAAATTCGGAGAAATTAAAGCAGAATAGCGTTTGGAAAACACATCGCATTCGGCACAGAAATCGATAGCTGAATCGAATGCGAGGTTTTATCCCAAACACTATTCTGATTTCATTTCTCTGAATTTTGCAATTTTTTGTGTTTAGAATGATGATTCTTTATGCTCATGCGCAGGGGCTATCGTCCTTTTTTTGGCTAAAATTTTAAAATCTGCCGAGATTTTTTACCTGATCGATGCGATATATCACATGCCAGTTTGACCACGTCAATTGAGCTTGATGAATCACCTGAAAGAAATTTCGGTATGAAATGGACCGAGTTTATCAGAGAGGAACCAACCCACATTTTCGAAAAAATTGAGTTAAGAATGTTTTTGAGTTGCACTAGTCGTATATTTTCTCCTGCCAAAAACTGAAAGTCGAAAAAAAAAAATATTAATTTGTGAAAAGAGGAGTTAAAGTTCATTTTTTTACATTAAGCCCTATGCAGTTGAGGTTGATACTTTGCCGATTAAGTAGGAAAAACTGTCGAGAAAACCTAATTTGCACCAGTTTTTTAAGTGCTTCAATCGAGAACCGATAAACAACTGGTATGCTAAACGCAAGCGTCCTGGGACACGTAATAACGACCAATTTTCTTCTCGATTTCAACAGGTGCCAAAAAAGAAAATGGAGGCAGGACTTGCCAGCGACTAGTGTCATAATTACCTTTCATAACGAAGCCCGCTCAACTCTTCTACGCACAGTTGTCAGGTAAAAACAAAAACTTTCAAGTGAATTTCTTCGTATTGATTCATGCCGAAAAATGATGTGTTTTGGAGATTATTTGTCAAGAATAACATTTTTTGACTAGATACTTCAACTTCTCGGCTGCCCGGCGGTTTCATGTTTCATGTCTTTTAATGTGAAACGAATTCCACCCGCTTGAAAGATTCTTACATCTAAGGTTTTTCCGAGTGTCACCGCTCACTTCATTCTGCAACTACTGACAAATGCGATTTGAAAATTGGAGTAAGTTTTTGGCGGAACTGTGAAATGAACTTAATTTAACAACGTTTTCTAACCAGTAAGATTTTACTTTGTTCTTTTGAGCCAACGAGAGTAACGAAAACATAATTGAATTTTGGAAAGAACCGCGCAAGTATATAGGAGAGGAGGTTTTAAATGCAAAGCTATCTATTAAACTTTCTTTAATGTATATTTTAGTACACTACATGATTATTTTTTGGCGTTTTTCAGCGTAGAAACTAACAATGTATTATAATTTAAAAAGGGGGGGGGGGCATTGCAATAACTCACGATTAGGGCATTTTTCTCCATCCCCCAACTTGTTTTAAGCTCCATTTTTGGAATAATTCATGTTGTCTTCATGCAAATTTTTTGTAATTTGACGTATTTCTATCTTTCAGTGTCCTGAATCGCACTCCTGAACACTTGATCAAAGAAATTATTCTAGTCGATGATTTTAGTGATTCTCGTAAGTATAATTTGATTTTGCCATTTTAAAACTTTTTTTATCAGTTTTTAAGATGCATCTTAAAATATATTGATGAATAACTTAACCAAGGAGTTGTAACAAAAGAGCTCTCTGAAGTTTTGTCTACAATTTTTCATATCGGTATGTTATATAAGAGAAGATCTTCTGATGTTTTTTGAGAAAAGCATCTTAAACTGAAACTATTTTCGCACCTTAACCTAAACTCGTGCTCCCGCCATATCTCTTTGTTTAAGCAAAATAACCATCTTACCTTTGAACATTTTTTAATCCCCATTGGTTTTCGTTTCCCTTTTATTTTTTTTTTTTTGGTAATTACCGAAATGTCCAAAAAGTTTTCTTTTGTAATTTCTCTAATAATCTCGCAAGTACTCCTGCCCTGGCAAAAATTGGCTTTAGAATCTGTGTTCCAAAATACCATAGACCTACAGCCGACTGTAAGATTTCCAATAGCTTCTATAGGCGGCAACACGATTTCTTATAGCCTTTTATAGCCGATGGCGAGTAAGCAACAGCCTGGCGATAGAGTGTATGCTAAACGTTACTAATTACGGATGCTAGGACTTAGTGAGTTTATGGACTACCGCTCTCTTTTTGGGCCATAGTATCTTGATTTATTTTGCGAGGAAAGCTCCGTACTTTTGAAGGATGCCTGCCATTCCTAATATGTTGGAGCGTCTTCAATTTCGTATGATACTGTGCAATGCCTCTGGTGTGAAATAGTTGCTTCAAGCGCCGTGGTACGCTGCGGCGCGGCGCGGCGGGCGCCTACAAACCTAACGGGGATACTTCACGCATTGCGCAATGCGTGAAGTATCCCTGTTAGGTTTGTAGGCGCTAGTGCACCGCCGCTCCGCTTCGTGTTAGGCTCTAATATTTAATATCGTGGAGTCAGCGTTTTCCAACTCATGACTTTGAAATGTTTGCACACTCTGTATGGATTATTCTCATTTTAATTGATGAAAAAAAATAAGTAGTAAAGGGAAATATAATGTGCGTTTTGTAAATATTAAAGTGATTCCGCACAAACTTAAGAATTTACAAAGCACACGATTTCTTACAGCCTTTTATAGCAGATTGCGAAAAAGCAACAGCCAGGCGATTAAAAGTAAAGCCCGGCGATAGGAACTATAGCCCGGCTGTATAATTTTTTATCGCTTCGTGTAGCCCGGCCGTAAGATTTTTTTCACTCTCTACAGCCAGCTAAATGATTTTCTATCGCCTTCTTCAGTCGGCTATACAAACTCCTACGGTATTTTAAAACGCATCTCCTATCGCCAATTTTTACCAGGGTGCTTAGAGTAAGGATAATCTTCACAGATTGTGAATATGGAATAAAAGATATCCTGCCTACGAAGCTTATACCACCAGCGTTGGAATTGTCAATGTAAATCGTTATCCTTTTATGTTATTATGTATCTAATTTTAGTCTGATTTCTTTCATTTCAGCATCAGATGGAGAAGAGCTAGCTAAAATTCAGAAAATTAAAGTTCTGCGGAACGAAAAAAGAGAAGGTACTCCTTACTAATATCATATTTGTGACGTATCAATTACTTTATTAATTGTGTTCTTTTTTCCTGTCTTTGAGTTTTGATTATTTCAATTTACAGAAGCAACTAGAATAAAAGTAACTACTTTACATGGCGGCTTATTTCTGCTCAAGTTTTATTTTTTTTCAACAGAAAATTAAACAATCTTTTACACCGAAACTCTTTTAGTGTAGTATTTTACTCACCCTTTCACTCTTTTATCTTTGATAGCCTCAGGAGCTTACCATTGATTTTGTCCATTTAGTTTTCATTCAAACTTGATTGAAGATGAGTTTTCATATGATTTTTGAAAGAAGCATATAGATTTTTGATTTTCCTGTACATTCTGTGGATTTAGCATTGTAAAAATTCATTAAAGAGAAATATGATTGTTTAATTTTATGACTGGTACTTCATTGTTTTTTTGTTTATACCAGAAGATCATATATATCAAATGTAATCTTGATTGATCTTTTTTATTGCAGGTTTGATGCGGTCACGAGTTAGAGGTGCTGATGCAGCTTCTGCCTCAGTTCTGACATTCTTAGACAGTCACATAGAGTGCAATGTTAATTGGCTTGAGCCACTTATAGAACGAATAGTTGAGGTGCCTAAACTTTTATTACTTTTTTTAAGTTACGATGCATGAATCTGAATCTTTATCTTGTGAGAAAAATATAATTGGATGTAACTAGTGAATTATAAATAACATAAAGATCTCAAGTTGTGCCAGAACTATAGGAAATACGCACATCTGCAGCCTTCTGTTGGGAAAACCAGGCAGTACCTACGTTGAGTCAGATTTCTCAGGGGAGAGCTCTTTGTCAAGTTGGGTTGAAAAATTAGATTTAATAGATCAAATCTTGCTTTAGTCTCTGAGAAAAAAGTTGAAACTGTTTTTTTTTTTTTTTGTTGCTGTGTCAGTAGGGGGTGCGACTTTTAATTTAATCATGTAATTCTCAGGGGAGACTCTTGTCAAGTTGGGTTGAAAAACTGATCGTAAAGTGCAAATCTTGCGTCAGTCTCTGAGAAAAAAGTTGAAGTTGTTTTTTGTTGTTGTTGTGTAAATAGAGGGGTGTGACTTTTAATTTAATAATTTAATTTTAACCCTTCAACAAGGGAGACAAAGACATTTAACAACTTTGATTGGCCAGAAATGGTAGTTCCACCTTGCAAAATGAAATCCATTTATTAATCATTAAGCAGAAAATATCGATCCCTAAATCTTGTACTTCTCATAGCACTATAATGACTCGGGTCGTTTTCACATTTGTTTCTTTCGATTGATCCTATCTACTCAGTGACAATCATTTTTAAGCATTATGAAACATTAATACAAACTTGTAATTTCATTTTCAGGACAAAACACGAGTAGTTTGTCCAATAATTGATGTGATAAGTTTAGATACATTCCAATATATTGGTGCATCAGCTGATCTCCGAGGAGGCTTCGACTGGAACCTAGTTTTTAAATGGGAATATTTATCCCAGGTAAGTTAATGCCCAAGTTTCTAAATTTCTTGAATTTTTTGCACTTTGTCCACCAATATGTTCTCAGTTGCCCAGTATTGCATGAGGGTTTTTTTTTTTTTTAATTCCCAATTGAGCTGTCTCTCTTTTGCGGAACTCCGTTGTATCAGGCTCTTCAATCTCAATGGACCACTAGACAAGGTACGAATTTAAGTAAGCTGATACATGTTTCATAATCAGAATTTCACGTAGAACACAATTCACACAACGAAAATTACTGAAACCAACTCCTAACGAAGATATTAACGTTTTTATTTCATACTGGTTACAAGGAGTTTGAACTGCCCGCTGACAAGAAACTCAAAGCTCTACGTGAGTCAAATCGCGCACTACAACGGTTTCAGCAAGCTTCTCAGCCGAGCAATGTTCATTTCTCGCCATGTCTTTTTCAAACTATAAGCAATTTGCTACAGCTGAGCCAAAGCATCAAGATTGAGGTTGCCAGATTTTTATATCGCAGAGACTGTCATGATAACGTTTAGCGCGGGATGTGAATCATGTAGAGCATTGAGTTTTCATGAGCGGGTGGTTTGAATTCACGCATCAAGAATCATTGAATATCGTTGTAAAAAGTTAATTTCGGTAATTTGTATCGTGCGCATTGTGTTCTACGTGAAATTTTAGTTACGAAACATATATCAGAATGCTGAAATTCGTACCTTGTCTAGTGGTCCATTGGACAGGCGGTTTTGGCATGCAATTGTGAGTTGATCATTTTTTTAAGGGAAAATTGTGCTCCATCATGAGAGTTTTTTCCTTCTAACATGATGCTTGACTGTCCGAGTATACCAATAATTATTGCTCAAAAGCCAATTATAATAGCATGTATGCCTATCTGCCCCTGCCCCCTAAATTGCACTTGTCTCTGTTTTCAAGTTTTCCCTTTCCAACTCTAAACTATGTTACTAACCCTCAGTAAAAGCGTATATTTAAGCAAAATTTTGATTTGTATCAGCTTGGTACTTTTGTCCCGCCACATCTCCAATTGATAATATTGTATTTACACATATATCTACCCCTCCGTAACTTTCCTTTTTTAGCTCACCTATTTGCTCTTGTATTTTTCAGCCACATAAGGATTTCTTTGTCAGTGTTCCATTGACCTTGAATATATTTAATGCATTCGATAATGTTTCTATGATTGTTCTTTTTTTTTTGCTAGACTGAGCGTGAAAACAGGAGGCGAGACCCCACTGCCCCTATCAGAACTCCAATGATTGCTGGAGGCTTATTTTCTATTCACAAAGCCTACTTCGAAAAACTTGGCAAATATGACATGGCAATGGACGTCTGGGGTGGAGAAAACTTAGGTAAAAAACTGCTATTAATTATTCTGTAACACTGTCCCTGTACAGCTTCAATAGAATAGTTGGATTTCTATGTATGAAACTGTCACATTTTTTTCAGCACCATATCTGGCCTTGTCCATACGCTTCAGGGTCTCGCTTTTGCTCCACCTTACGTTTTTTTCATGCTCTTATTGCAAACAACCTTTGCAATCTCATTGTATTAAAATGAAATAATAAATAAATGTATGAAAAAACAGTTATAGGTTGCCATTGGATTAATTCCTAACAAAATAAGCTATTTTATATCATTTTGATCTTGCAGAAATTTCATTCCGTGTCTGGCAATGTGGCGGAAGTCTAGAAATAGTGCCATGTTCCCGAGTGGGTCACGTTTTTCGCAAACGTCATCCATACAGTTTCCCTGGTGGTAGCGGCAACGTTTTTGCAAAGAACACACGGAGGGCAGCTGAAGTTTGGATGGATGATTATAAACAGTTTTATTATGCGTCTGTTCCGTTGGCAAGATCTGTTGATTTTGGAGAGTAAGTTTCATGTTCATATTTCTCAATAAGAAAGTTAATTTGCAGCAGTTACACCATATGTACATGTATTAGAAGCATTTCCATTGAGTTGAAGTAAATTTTCTAGTAGTTTTTTCTGGAACCTACAACACAATAATTTAAACTTAAGGGTCGAGGGGCTTCTCTTGAGAAATATTCTGGATTTTTTCATGTATGGTATGAAACATGAGAGTTAGTCAATTTAGGTGATCATAGCCATCTGTGATATCTCCGTTTTTCCTATTATTAGTTGATTTTACAGTGCACCAGGGCACTCTACAATCCCTAACTACCCCTAGAACCTGTTAAGGTAGAGATTTTTCGGAAACTGACATCTCTTTTTCTCTTTTTTGATGCCATCTATCCACCTTTTGACTGCCGGTTTTTCCCTCCCCAGCAGAAAATTCTCTAATTTAGAGATAAGCTTTTTTGCCGAAAATCAATACTATGACTGCTTCTGCCTGTTGTAGTTGGTCTCTCCGCCAGGAGCCCTCTACAAAGATGGCTGCTGATAGGGATAGAGAGCAGCATTTTTAGGCATTTCATGTTCATTATTTATTTTTGTTAACTGCGTAACCATTTTGAAGTTATCTTGTTAAGACCAGCGCAGTGGATCTGCTCCAAGTCCTTGGTGGATCTGCTTCCTCGACAGGCAGGATCAGCAAATAAAGGATTGATTTCATGAATCTGGTTTTAATAAATACCTCCACTCCTAAAGTCTTAAAACACATATCATGTTGTTTTCTTGTAAAACAAAACTTAAAAAAACAGTAAAATGAAAAATGTTTCCTAATTGACGTTCATCAGCAACTGAAACAGTATTATTTTTATTAATGCCTTGTGCTTTTGAGGTTTGGTAAGAACCCTACAGCAAAAATTCCTTTGATCAATAATTGTTTTTAATGCTTATTATTTCAATTGTTCCCTCTTAATAACCCTGTCGTTATCAGACTAGATTCTGCGTCTGTATGCCCCATAACAGGACTTGGTTGTCACGTAACAAATGGCTGGGCACTATATTGGGAAGTGTCCAAAGTAACAGTTCTGGTTCTTTTTGACCAACAGTGCAAAAAATGAGAATACCTTAGAGTAGAAAATAGTGAGTAATGGCAGATCTGTTACAAGGAGGATACGGTTGTGCGAAATGCAGATGCTGTGCTCTTGATAATGAAAGGGTTAATATTAAGTCAGGTGCACATAGGTCAGAACACAAAATAATTTTTTTTAAATAGTCAACACTGATACACAGTCAACGAAAAATATAATAAAAGTGAAAGTCAGTGCTGCGAAGTAATACTGAGGAGAACATCTTTATCTTGACATCATACATTGAGTTGGTTCCAATGCATTAAGCACCGGATCCATAATAATTCATGACAACACTGTAAGCAGCATTCATTTAAAAACAGATTTTTTTCCAATCCTTGGATATCAGAGATCAAAATCTAATTCTGTGGCTGATAAAACTGACTCATCAGGCACTGAACCTAGTACATATTCATATTTTTCAGCCAGATGGAAAAAAGAATAATTTTTCATTATGCTTGCTTTTCAGTATTTCAGATCGTCTGGCTTTGAAAGAAAGACTTCACTGTAAACCATTCAAGTGGTATTTGGATTACGTCTATCCGGAATTGAAAGTTCCTGATTTTTCAAGCATCGCATCTGGTGTGATTCAGCAAGGAGTTTGGTGTCTCGATACGATTGGTCATCTCACAGGTGGCACTGTTGGTGTTTACCCGTGCCACAACACTGGCGGCAACCAAGATTGGGTCTTCACAAACACCGGACAGATTAAACATAATGATGTTTGTCTGGCTTTGACAACCCAAGAGCCTGGTAGTGTTTTAGTCATGAAAACTTGTCAGCACTCTTCTGATCAGAAGTGGATTCAACTATCGAAAACTGGTCTAATCAAGCATTCTATTTTAAATCTTTGCATAGACTCAAAACATTCGCAAAACCGAGGACTTATTGTAGATAAATGTGACTCCAGCGCTACTTCACAACAGTGGGAGTACGTGAGCAAATTATGAATGAAATTTTTTACATCACCAAAGGACAATGGTTCTTAAATTTCTAATTCATGATTGTGATTATCTTTTACTATACCTGTGAATTTGTATTTAGGGGTCTGTTAATTCTGTAAGCAGCTGCTTCTCTTGTGATATTAGACTTATGAGACTTCTGCTGATATTTCCATCAGTCAGAATAAAGTAAAATAAAAGAAAGTAGCAAAAGCTTAGACTCAACAGTTTATATCGTGCAGAATTTGTGCACGGCTCTCCTCGTTTCACATGTGACAATGTGATACAATTGCCATTTTTGGTTAAATTTAAGTTTCGCTCAAGAGCAGTTTGTGATGGATGGTTATTAAATGTCATGAATTTTAAAGGATAGACTGCTCTTATGCATTTATCTAACTCGTGTTCTATTGCATTATTGTGACCATTCTGGAATTTTTAGTTGTTTAAAATTGGTTTGTCATTACATGAAAGAAGGAACCAAGGCTGAAACTGAAGACACTCCTTCAAAACACCATCGTCTATCATCTGTATAAGCAAATTTTCGTTCGTCAACTGTTGTAGAAATCCGTAAACGGTTGTCCTGCGCGTTAACGAAGTTGGTATTTTCATCGACCTATCAGAGCCCTGTGGCCTGTTTACAATACTGTTGATGGATTTTGGCAACGTTTTAAGAAAATTTTCGCGTCCCAAATAGCGATGAATAAACAAACAATAATCAAAACAAACATTGAAGGTTAGAAAATTTTGAATTGCTGAAATGGACAGGAGCACGGACTTAAAATTAAAAAATGAGATTGAGTGGGAAAACTGGAGCATTGGTCATTTAGCAACCATACTTGAGAACTTACAAGATGAAATGCACCATATATAAAAAAAATACAAAGGAAAATGAAGGAAATTTATAAAATAATGTATAAGGAGCAAAAAACAGAAGACATACGCTGATGGCAAATACGAAATCATAGCTTTGCAAGTAATGCTTGTTGGAACTCACTTTCTTGCTGTAGAAATCTATTGGCAAACTCCAATTTCTTTTCCTCAATGTCTAATTGTTTCTTTGAGTTGTCCTTCATGAATTCCAGGACGGATCCAGCAGAGACTTTTTCCTTGACAGGTCGAACTGTTTTTTTTAAATTGCACTGAACAGCGGTGCTTGAAGAACCTGGATCATCCACTCTTTCCTCTTCTTCCGTGGTCAATGCAACAGCATCAGGACCACCATCGTGGGGTGGAGAGGCAGGGCTGCGGGATTATGCACTGTCATCTTGTACTCTCTGTGCAGTTCCCTTGATGAATTTTGGAGGGAAATCCTTGGCATGTGTATCAATTAAAAATTTTGGATCATTTATTTGCCTGGGGCCTAACACTTCATACATTTTGTCAAAATACTCTGGTTTGCATTTAGCGCCTTCCCCTGTTTTCTTTTGTATAAAAGTGCGAAATGATGAGGTTGAATTTCGCCATTTCTGATCACAATATTCACCCCTGCTTCTGAAAGTGTATCTGCAACTTTTTTCCAAACCTTTTTTTTGAACGTTTCCTTATCATTCAGTCGTTGCTTTATGTTGTCTGAAAGAACTACTTCCATGAGAGCATCTTGGGGTTTTGTAAACTTCTCATCACCAATTATGACATCTGCAGTCACAGTCGTCGTCCAAAAATCCTTTTTTTTCTTGGTTTCTGGTCCTTCCGTATCACTAGCCGGTGAAACCTCTTTGATGGATTCGGTTCGTGTGTCGGTGGTTTGATGTTGCCCATTTGCCACATTGTATCCTGCAGAGACAAAGGAAAAAATTAGAAACATTCTTTTCTTCAAACACACAATCTTAAGAGGTGATTCAGCTTGGGAATAATATAAAATTATATTGGTTGAACACTAAGGTACCAAAGAGCATTTGCCTATGAAAGCTGAGTTGATACTCCAAATCGTAATTGGATGTTTCGGGCTGAATGTTCATGTGCAGAGAAAATATCGTATCAACAGTTTCTTTGAAGATAACACCATAGTATGCTACATTCTGGAAACGCATAACAATTTTGAAGTCAACACCAAATGAACTTATGCGCTTTTCGTGTGCAACAGGACATCAACTGCCTTGAGTTTACTCAGCATTTATTGAAGACTAGCAAGATAGCAGATCTTTTGTCTCACTCAGAAAGTGGGTAGACTTTTATAGCATGAACTGTAAAGTAGTTTTTCTTTCACTTTAGTAGACAACAAATATTTCAGAATTCTTCCTCCCAAGTCCTCCTTTCATCTCATAATTCTAAAACATGTTGGTGATCCTGTGAAGCATTTGCTAGATACTCATTACAGAGACTTCTCCTTCCAATTTTAAAGAATGCGAGATGTGATTGCAATACTTCCTGAAATTTTAGTGACGGATAAAATGCAATTACCATCTACAGCAGTGAACAGTGTTTGGCCTCCTGTCTTCTTCCGAAGAACTCCAACTCTATCCACTGGAACAGCAATAAGGAACAATGTTAAAAGACTTGAATAAGCTGAATTGCAATGAAGAAATTCACACACTTTTAAGGGAGATTCACTTGTAATGTAGCACTAAGACGATTGGTTAATTGACTAATAATGAGGGAATTTTTGAGGGGCTTGGAAAACAAGGCGCATAAGTGCAGTTTTTATTATTTAGAAAGAAACAAGTTTAAAGATCTGGATTCCACTCGGACCTACAGAGTGCTCCGAATACCTTCAAAATTTACAAGTGTTTGTCTCACACCTTCATGAACGTCTTCAGAAGTTTTCAGCTTAGTTGAGCAAAATTGAGGGCAGCAGCTGGGCTTACTTAAAGTGACGGTAGGTCGCACTTATCCCACGTTCCCTCTAAACAAAAAATGCACTTATCCCATTCACTGGTTTCTCCGCATCAAATGACTTCCAGACAAAATCGCATGATATTCTGATGGACCCTGCCTTGAACTACGAAAAAACACGCACAACTCAATTTTGATCAAAGACATGCTCCTGAATACACGGTTTTATTTTTTTTTCATCCTTCCTTTTTCAACACAGAAAAACACGAAATGGTTCAGATTTCTGTTTCCCCTGCGCCCTCCATCCCCGTTTTCATCTACTGTGCTTTCAGTGAGGCCCAGTCGTCCTCTTGTATCTCACCTGTTGAATATAAGCATAAATAGCTATGGCACGCAGCTGAGGCGGCTGGGCTCTAATCTGTAGTCTCGAATTTCTTAAACTGCATGCGCCTTGTCCTCAAAGGCCCTCATTTAATAATAGAATGAGATAAGAAATACGACTTACCTCCAGAATGGTACCATAGCGCCTCACCGTTATGGAGCAGAGGTGAGCCTTTCTCATCACAAATTTGCGACAGTTGTTTTTCCATCATAAAAATAAATCCAAATCCCAAATCAATATTACTTCTCTCACTAACCTCACTCGTGGTTTTAACCGGAATCGTTAACAGGTTCGACAACGAGGTCCCTGGCACGTTTACGAAACCGTAATCTGTTGACAAAAATTAAATTACGCTTAAATTACGAGGTATTTGGCGGGAAAGGCAAGGCCACGCCCATTTCATCACAACGGAGCAACAACGGAGAACAAAAATTTCTTTTGATGACGTATTTCGTCAACTGTTTACGAATTTCGACAACAGTTGACGAACGAAAATTTGCTTTTTAAAAGTGTCTGTGTTTGAAACTCATGCATCAAATCAAGGAGAGAATCATGCAGGTATTCTAATGCTTAACCACTATGCTCATCTTTGACTGTAAGCAAAAAACAAAACTATTATTTCTGAGAATTGTGGTCGCACATTCAGAAATTATTTCCCTCAAAATTTCTTTCCAAAATTCTGAGTGAAAGCAAATTATTTGAGCTTGTGACTATTGTGAGACCAACAATCTACTTTTAATTAATTTTTATTCTTATGAATGGCTTTTGAAAGAGATTATTCAGGCCTTGATAGCTGAAATATGCAGACAAACATGTCAAACATGTTTTCTATTGGAAATTAAAATGGGTATTCAGCAAGTGACGTTCCAAGTGTAATTGTTGATATCTTTGTGCTGAAAGCATCATTTGCTTCAACATATGGAAGAAGCTCATAAGGTGATTTATAGTTTAGGCAGTTTTGCGGAGTGTCTTAAAAAGTAAAACTCTGTCGTCATGTCAGCATTGAACAATCAATACCACACTCAAATCATTCCAAGAATTGCGTTCTATTTTATTTTTTGTCGATGTAATAGAACTCAAATCTGCTGTGATGAGCAGAAATGGTGAATTTGCTTCCTTACTGTCTACAGATTTTAATGTGAACATCTTGGCACCTGAAATCGAAGCAGCTTAATAATTTCATCAATAAATTTTATGAAAGTAAAAACTCCTTTTTGTCAAGAAGGTAATAATGAAATGCACTGTTTATCACAGTTTCATAGAGCTCCTATACCATGGCTTAAAAAGAATCATTTTTAATGTAAAAATTTGTTTAATTAATTTTATGTTTTTTCATGTGTAATTACTCACAGACGAAATACACTAAAGTGCTTCTGTGTGATTCAAAGTCGATGATATATGGTCAAATAACAAGAAAAAATTAAATTCACTAATCTAATGCAGGATGCTGCGTAGAGTGTATTTTTGTAACAAGAGGCTGTACGTAAAATATGTAAAGCTTACATGACCATAGAAAATATTATGCATCGGCATCAACGTTCCATAGTATGGTCCACAATAATGATTAACCTACTTACTTACCGTTGGGGTAATTTTATTGTATTCACTCTTCTTTACAAACTACTTTTTACAATGCAAGAGTCCTTAGCTATCTACTTCTTAATTCAGTTGTACAGTTTTTTTTTTTCATCTGTAAATCTGTATGTATATCTACTTAATTTATCCTTCCAACAAATTTCTTTAAGCATCAAAAAATCTCGAATATTATTTGGATCAGGAGTGATCTTTTAAATACAATTAATTTTTCATGTAAATATTCTTAATTCTCAAGAGCTAACTGATGGTATCAAAAAATTATTTTTTGTACCCACCCTCTGGTTGAACGACAGCACAAAAGTTGTGTACAAGATCTTGCAATTCTTGCATATACATTTGGCATACATTTTTCTTTGTGAAAATTAAATCTAAAGAAAGCCTAGAATTGTGTATTAGCCATTTTCCCCCCTAAAAAAACCAGTGAAAGACAGGGATTCCATGAAGATCAAGAAAATTTAATCAGAAACCAGGCATAAAATTGCCAAATCTACGTATATAAAAGCTCGAATATTTAAGCTGGTGTCCTGCGCAGTTTGAATGAGCATCATCTATTTCTCTAGATTATTATTGTTAAAATATTGTACATATGTATTTAATGTGTAAATTTTTCTTTAGAAGAAGAAATTGTGTAAAAATTATGATTTTGAAGCGTAGGAGATTCCAAAATGAGACTTTAACTGGAGTGTCATTGGTCAGCGACCGTTATTATGCAGACTTTAAATCAGCCATTAGGCACGCTTCAAGTTTACTTTATATGTTCCTGTCTCCCTCCTTGTTCTCACCATTGATAAACTTCTGTAAATTAATTGAAATTCCTGCTTTTATGACTGCTCCTGTCATCTCCTTACGTTCCACTACCCATATTTTTAAGATTTTTACTTTGCGACTTTTCTTGAAGAAACACATAAGATATTTGTAAATCGTGTCCTAGTGTTATTGAGACCTGTCTATAAATGTAAGTACATATCATGCATTCTGTAAAAACTACTCACGGACAGAACTTGTACGGATTAATAGTTTAGTTAATGGTAATTGATAGTAATTTACCACAGTTGAATCCTCTAACAGTTGACAATGGAATTTTCGTATAATTTTGAAAATCCTCCTGAATTGTAATACCTAGTGTAATAGTTTTCAACTTTCCTGCATCTGTATTCTTTAACATCTTAGGTACAATCTAGACCAACTATTTCAATCATCTTTGAAAATACTTTTCCCAGCTTCTTTACCCTTTATCAAAACATCAATCCCTTGCTTCATTGTCAACATGTTTAAAGTGTTTTCTTTCATCATTGAATGAATTTTTTGTTAAATAAAACGGTTTTGTTAGAGAAATTTTTGTTTTTCAAAAACTAAAAATTCAAATACTACAAATGAGACACTGTTTTTCATCTTTGAGAAAATGAATTGAATGAAAACAAGTGTCAGATAGGTGACCCTACTTCAGTGGAATATTTGACAAAAAACGATTCAGAATGTTTGAATGGATTGCTACATCTACAGCAAAGCTGTTCATAATTTTTATTGCTGAGAATAACCTTTGAAGCTTATGTGAGGTTCTATTGGAAGCTTCTTATAATTTTCTTGTTTGTAAATGTTTAAAGGGTCTGAAATTTTAACCGATAGCTCTTTCAAGAACAGAGTTTTCCAGCATACTCTCTCTTAAGTTTTTTCTCACCTTGTGATTTGCTGCATTTGTCATTGTTAAGGTGGTTTTTCCGCTCTTTGGAGAACAATACAATAGTCAATTGATCAATTGATACTTTCTGGATATTAAGAGCTTTCTTGAAAAGTCCAATCATCACATCACAGCGTAGTATGTAAGGTATTCGTAGATAAAATTCAATCAGGAAATATTTTAAAATAGCTTTGAAAGTATGTCCCAACTTAAAATTGCAAATCAAAAGACAGAGTTTGCAATATTCAGTAGGACCGCACCATTTGAGTTCTTTTAAATTATTTCCAGGGCAAAGTTGGTCAAAAAAATACCCTACATGATATGATCCTCAGAATTTCTCAAGAAATATCTTAAAATTCAGAAATGATCAATTGATTTATTGACCATCAAATCATTCTCAGAAATGCTGATGAACTGCTTTAAAGCAATGACAGTTGAAGTTTTTGTCTTTATCATTTCATATTATGTTAGCTTGTTGATTTTTAAAAACTGTCCTAAGTGCTTGAGTCCTAGAAGAGAAAAAGTCTATGTCTTGATAACGATCATAATTCTCTTCTAGGTGTTTAGTCTTTGTATGAGTTGTTAAGTTTTATTCCAGTAGTTTTTTTTTACTATAGTTGAATCTCTGGACCTCCTTAATTTAATCTGAACTTCAGACACAGGATGTTTTAATCATCTATTAAATAAATTTTACATGAAATAGACTGAACGTAAAGGCATTCGTCAAAAAGAGAGAAAACTGATGGAAGAGTAGTAATGTGTACTTACGTTTTGTTATTGTAGATCTTATGGCAGGAAGTTCTTATTTGACCTCCCCTTGTCAACTAAGTCTTAACTCATCTGACATGTTAGGGCAACATTTTGTCATCTTTGTCTCTGTGTGTGATTTGTTAATTCACATAATTCAGATAGATAGATCAAACTCATCGTGTTTTTACACACAAAGTTTTTTTTTTTTTTTTTTTTTTTTTTTTTTTTTTTTTATAATTATTCTCAGCAAAGTGTAAATGGGTCCATATACATGACAAAAAATTACACATAGTAAATTTTTTCCAATTCAAAAACAAAATATCGCTGGAGTTTCTCTAACCACCTGATGCATTTTTAAATTGGTAGAAAGTAAGAACATTGAATGAAATACACTTATTATTTTTCTTAGTTTTGGGTTTCTACTTAGGACCTTTTGTCCAAATTCTGTGAAGGAATATTTCCTCAAAAATCCTACGTATATAATTGTGCTATGGAATAAAGAAATCATTTTCTTTAGTTTTGTCAAAACGGTTTCTTCATCCAGCGCATCTCTTCCTAATTCCATGGGTAGGTGGGAATTACTACGCAAAATATGTTACCAATTTTGTATTACATTTTAGTTTCTTTGTTATATTTTTTGTGCTTTATCAATAAAAATTCTTTGGTGATGCATATTGGATTTTAATGGTGTAAGTTGACCATTAGAGACAATGCGTTAATATGGATTTACCATTTACCCCCAACAAACTTAAAATTCTCTAATTGCTCCATGAAAATGAACAGCTTCATATTCATTTATGATTTTTCTCTCATTATATATGAAGAACTGTGGTTTCAAATAGCTGGATTACAAATCAGTTTTATTTTAATACATTACATCATCATAGCGTTCCTCCTTTGGCAGTAAGTAGCAGGGTGTTGAGCTTTCAAAATTTTAGTTGATGTTTGCACATGAGAAAATTTGTGGAGTAAAATAATTTTCCTCCTTTGAGTGGAATTAACGCTAAGTTACAACTGCATACATGAAAAGCACTTGACCAAACTGCATATTCTGGTGTTTGCAAGGTATAAATGGCTCTAATTTCCTTGTAGGTAAATCAAGTTTGGAAAATAATTCAAATTTGGAAATTGATAGGAACTCTTAAGAACAGGATTGAAAGTCATCAGGTGTCATTGAAGGAAATTTCTTTTTTCATAAGTTTGTATCATCAATTATACTAGTCCTGGAAAATTCAACTCTATTATTTGTTGTTGTTTCAAGCCAAAGACTCCTATTCTTCTTGAAGTTAGATCTACTCTGCTGGATTCAGTTATCATTTAGGCTAACAGGTATACTGAAAATACGTAAGTAGAATTAAATAGATAATACGTTCTCTCCAAAGGTCAAGCCTTGGTTTGAAAATGCTTCGTTCTCCACTTCTAGCAAGGATAGAGCCAAAAATCCCTCAAACCCAGCAATCAGCATCAAATCCAAGCCTTTAATATCTTCTTCATAGATCTTTCTCGACATGCTTAATTGTTATTTCCTAATGACATCCTGCTCTTCTTGTTTCACTGTTCTAAAAGTAGCACCTCATTTCTATGCAAAAGATGGTCAAGCTGTTCAGAGATCCTTACTGTGATCTATCATTTTATGGTTGTTGTCTTCATTAATTATTTTTTGTTGTTTAAAATGTTTCTTTTTCTTCTCTCGTATGATTTATTCTTTATTAAGTCATAATTGTTATCGTTAGCTTCATCTTTTTGGGACGAAACCAAAGAGAATTCAGCAATGTTCATAGTTCTATTGTTGTTATTTTGTGAGAAGTTTTATACACGCTCTGTTTCACAAGCAACCAAGTTTTTCTTTGAAGGAGCCTACCTCTCAATTGTATGAGATATATATAAGAGTAACTACTTATTAATGGAACTTGTACAGATTCATTTGTGACATTAGCATTTCAAAGTATGTATTACACTGTAAAGCATGGATTCATCCACTCATTCAGATTTGAAATGAATTTAGAAGTTTCTAAAATATGGAAATGATAGCCATTTTGCCACAGGCAGCTTCTAGGTATTGAAATAACTGTTTTCAAACATATTTTTCAAAGTCGTTCAAAAATTTTATTTGTAAGAATGTTCCTTCTCTCTTCTGAGCCTCTTAAATTTTCCCTTCACAATTTATTTCTATCCCTCAATACCTCAATGTATCTACATATTTTATTTCACCGTGCTCATTTAATCTTATTCAAATGAGGAATCAATTTTTTATAACCATTATTTTCATAATAATTTCACAAGTTTTAAGTTACTTCAAAGTAATACATAGTTCCTGAAATCTTTGAAAAATTTCTTCCTTGTTTGTTAAGCCGATTTTCTTCTTTAGAAGAAAACCCACCATTTTCCTATCTAGCAAAGCTCAAAGCCCTTGTAGAACTACGGTACACTCAAGTGTTTTTTTTATTATTTTTTCGTACGTAAATTTCTCAAAAGAACATCATTGTCAGTACTGACCATTAATTTTTCCCCTCAACAAAATGAAAGATGTGAACGTTAGTGTTCTGAAAATGATTACCTGCTATTTGAGGTGAAAGTTCTCAATTCGATTTTAACTTTTAGTGAATGATCTTTCTTGATTCCTTATGAATAGCCTCTCAATCACTTTACCCATGCATCACATGTGTTAAAATGGACCAGTAGACAGAGTACAGAATTTAGCACCACCATACATATTTCCTCATCAAAATTTTCCAAAATCGATTCGTAAGCCAGATAATACCTATTTTTGTCAACGTTAATTTGAACACTTCCCGGTCACAAAAACACCAGAGTCAAATCTAGGGTTTTAAACTAAATTAGGTATGTTTTATGATGGAAGAATTTTCCTGTTTACTGACTTTCAACTCACAAGATTAAAAGTACCTTGGATCAGGGGAGGAAGAAAATGTGAGTGAAGCCAAGCCATAGTTTTTTACCCAGAATGGAAGGTTGACTTTAATACCTAATTTTGCCTACATTTGGACCGCGTTTAACAGAAAGGAACCAAGCCACATCAGCTATTGCCAAATTTTACTGTGCAATTTAATTTTTTACAAGAGAACGTTTCTATGGATTCCTTTGAAAATTTTAAGGAATTTGCTTCGTACTGTGGAGAAAATTCGCTGAAATTTGCACGAAAATCCGCACAACCGTTTCCGTGTAAGAAATTGAATTGCCAAATTAAATTTGGCAATAGCTGATGTGGCTTGGTTCCTTTCTGTTTAACGCGGCCCATTTATCATTGTTTTTGTGAGCGGAGACTTTACATTTACTGTTTATAATACAAACTGCAAATGTTTATTTTTCACTTTAGAAGTTTACTTATGATATGTTCGACTTGTTCTGCTTATAATTTTGATGAGAAAATATTTGCTGTAGTGCATAATCTCATACCCTGTCTGGTGGCCTATTAATTTTGAAGTACCTATTTTGTAATACCCTGAGCCACTTTGGCCAGCCTTATCTTGTGTAATTTTCTGTTAACTACTGAATTTTTGATACCTACACCCCCATGACACATTATAGTTTTATGTGTGTAAAATGAATTTAGGATAATTCTATTTTATGTACTACGCTCAAGTGAGGGGCTTAGAGGACACTGCGCATAAGTTCAGTTTTTGAAAATAATGATTTCAACTAAAACTAGTCTTAAAATATGTTCTGTGAAAACTTTGCTGCTAACCCAGTCTTTCAGCATCAAAAAGTGAGTTAGAACTTTCTTTCCGTCATAAAGTTCTATGTAATTTTGAAACTTTCTACACATATTTCTTAAAAAAGCAAGAACTGCACTTTTGAGCCTTATCCTCCAAGCCCCCCAAATATTAAGTACCAAGTTTAAGCAGCAAGATTAACGGTGGAACTAGTCTAAAAATTTGTCTGTAGACAGTAGTTACGTAGGCATGAAATTTTGTTCACCTTAGTCAGTTCCAATTTAACCGTTCTGTCTTCAACTTTCAAAGGGTTTGAGAGTAAGAAAGAGTGGATACCATGGTGAAACCTGCTTTTGCTCGAGCAAGTTTGGGAACCAGGAAGTCTTACAGACCTCTGTTCCTTTGAATATTATTGAAATCATGTTATTTGACTTTGAAAATGTATGTATCTAAATTTTAAACTTTGGAATGCTGATAGCGAGCAAAGGACAGCTTTCACTTTCCATCCATTCACAAAATGTGTTTGCTGTTTGAAATTGTGTAATGCAATGTTCTCGAATCCTTTGTGTACCTGGAGCACCTTGGGGTTTACAAATAGAGAAAAATTGGAAAATTAAGTTATTAAATCATGGAGGAAATTTTCTTATCATCAATTACTGTCAAATCAGTTTCTATTGCTTATTTTTCTATGTTTTGTATCTTTCGAAACTCATTCCTATGTATGATTCAAGTGACTAACAGCTTTTGTACCTATCAGAACTGCTGTTGTACATTCCTATTTGTAAGGTATAAAAAAATAAAACTCCTTGCTCTCATTTTTACTTACTAGCTCATTCTTTCTTTAAAAATCTATTCCTAAACATATCCTCCTATATCATTGAAAATGTCATCACATTATAAAAAAATTACTCAGGTTTTTATTTTTAGTGGGATGAGACATTATGGTACCTTTCCTGTTTGGGGGAGGGGGCAACCCATCATATCTAAGTACGTCTTAAAAAAGAAACTCATATTTTTTTCACACAGCACAATAACCAGTTTAAGGCTAAAAATATCAATTTTTAGTTTTCTATACTATTATACTCATGCTCTCTTCAGTACTCGGGAGGACCGTGGTTCGAAGTTTCAAGCCATTATTGAGGGGCTTGGAGGACAAGGCGCATAAGTGTAATTTTTAAAAAAATTGAGATATTAATAATTTCAAGTATAACTAGTCTTCTTGCTTATTCTGTGAAAAATTTGCTCCGAAATTCCAATTTTTAAGCATCAAAAAGTCAGTTTGCACTTTCTGTCCGACATAAGAATCCTTGTAATTTCGAAACCTCAAACACATATTTCTCGGAATAGCAAAAACTGCACTGATGTGCCTTGTGCTCCAAGCCTCTCGATTCGAATTAATGATGATGTTCATTGCGTCTGAGGGAAATTGTTCCTATAAGTTGCAACAGCTGCATTAAACTTCAACAGAAGTGTTCGATCCCACTTTGTTGTCCTGAAATGTTGCATTGCTACTGAAGGATTACTTCTTCTTTTTGGGTGTTTTTTGCCCCTACTGATGGAGAATTAAGCTTCCATATGTACTTCATATTTTCTCCCACCTGAGGACACATTTTGCCTTATTGCTGCATCATAATTCATTCTGTTATGTAATCATTCCCTTGATCACTCTTTCTACTTCCATCAAGCTGGCTCTAATGCTCTATCAACGGTGAAATTCTCAAACCACGTGGCATATGCGGTCTTTTAAAATCTCCGCTCCCCCATCTGATTTTTTCTAAGGAGAACAAATCCTTGAAGTTTTCACAGGATTTTCTTCGCATTATGAAGAAAAATCAAGAAGCGTTAAAGCAAGTCTGCAACGTCGCAGACTGAGATACGTGGTTTGAAAGTTTCTCGGTCGCGTCGCTCTGTTGGACGCCCCCCCCCCCCANTTATCCATTTCTTCTCTATGGAAAATGTAAGCGCTCATGTCGTCAGAGAAAGCCGCCGAAAAAAAATTGGTAACTTGAACCATGAACAGTATGAAATAACTTCTCCTACGAAAAAAAACTTTCACTTTAGGTAAAGAAACGAAGTTAGTCCGGAAACGGAAAATGTCAATGAATGAAACGTCAAGGGCAGGGAGGGGGCCCTACCCCTACACACACGAAGAAGGGAGTGTATGTGTGAACACGTGTGAGACTCCCCCCTCCCCTCTACAGAAAGATTTTCATGTTTCAGCCTGTCGAAGCGTCGCGCGCTTGCGGTTGGTGTGCGTGTGGTCTGCGCGTGGTCAGTGCGCAGTTCAGCAACTTCCAACTTCCTTCACTTCCTTTGTATGTGTCGTGCTCGTGCGTTCTTCCGCGTGTGCCTTGTCAGAAGAGAGCCATCAAGTTCTTCAATTCCAATTACTCATTGTTTAAACGGTTATTTTACGATTCTTATACCTACCTTTGCGTTATTCGCGTTCAATAGGTACTCCAGTTGTTACTTTTTGCAGGAGTGCGGAATTTTCTACAGTCTAGAAGCTTCTTCCGACTTGCGTTTTCCCGCGTGCCTGCCCGGTCAGGAGAAAGCCTATTATCTTAAATCTAATTAATCATTGATTCAGACGATTATTTCGCGATCATTGTACATACATTTACGTTATTCGTGTCTACTGTTTACGGGTGTGCGGAATTTTCAATGAATTGGAAGCAAATTCGCGTTAGAAGTGAGCTTCGAGGTCGTGGTTTCCAGCGGCATTTTCGTGGAGGATCAAAATCGTTCGCTTTGATCCCGTTTTTTCTTTCGTGAGTTTCGTGCTGCTTCGTTACGGTTTTCGTGGACTTCTGAAACTGTTCTCTAAGCACGTGTTAGTGCTACTTTTTTGTCGGAAACCGAAGGCTCGAGTGCTTCAGTTCAGTCTGTTCTGAATGAGTTGGCCTGATCGTTCATCGTGTTGGCCATGTGGCTTGTTGCTTGAAGAAAGCTACTCGACTTTTGCGGAATAGCATCCCTCGAATGTCAAAGGAGAATATTAACAACATCGGGTCACCTACTTACTTCTGTTATCTGATCGTGAGCTTATCAGCAGATTCTCTTGAACTCGGCGTGACTGGAGTAGAGGTTTGAACTTCATGTATCTGTTTTCTTAGGTATTTTTTCAATTCTGTCCATCCTATTGAGTGCTTTAATGTCACTCACGCATTGCAGGAATGTTGTGATTATTTATATAGCTGTTATATCTACTACCTCTGAGTGATGATGAAACCAGGAAACCATTTCATGGTCTGTCTGTGGGTTAGATTTTACTCCGAAAACAATGAAACCTGAGCAGAGATCTGCAACGGCTCAATCGGAGTTTTGTATTTTTTACTTTAGACGTCTATTTGTATTGTTTGTTTTCAGTCTAGGTATTTGTCAAGAAAACTTTGTACATTATTTGTTTCACAGGACCGTAACAGCCGCACGATCTTACTTCGGTAGTTCACCAATTGGAGTGCAGAAATTTTTGGTTTCATCGTCTGATGATTTCTTTCTAATTGTCGATTCGGATCTAAATTGATCTAATTAGTGTAATTTGTTTTGATTCAAACCATTCCTTTTCTATTCCACCTGCTCACCTTTGTGCAGAGGCGGATCCAGCAATGTGGCAACACCGTATTTCCTCTATTTAAACCTATGCTAAATACTCGATTCTTGTCGGAGCAACTGGCCCCTCCAAGAATCGATATATTTTCATAGATTTAAATGGAGGAAATCAGGTGTTGCCAAATTGCTGGATCCGCCAATGCTGTTGTGCATCTCTTTTCTTTCTTGATTTCTTGCATGATACAAATCTGTGTAGATATATCTGCATGCTGCGCTCTCAAATGCACTTTCCAGGCTCTTTGCATCCAATATATATCTATGGTATCTCTTCTACGTCCTCTTTTTCAGTTTTCTGTTGCTGATGTGCTATCCATCGTGCTCTCTACTCTAATCTTTACTCTACAAACTTCCCTACAAAGATCTTTTCTGCCTCTTTAATATTATTTTCATGGGGGGCCGGTCGTAAATTTCGTCAGGCATCCCGTAGAGGTAAGAAAGTCTTTAGGTGTGAAGAAGAGGGAGTAGTCTGTAGGTACCCGACACTAGAAAGGGAAGATGCTAAACTTTATGTAAAGCTGAAAACAATGTCCTGGAGTTGACAAATTGAGATGAACGTAAAAAAGAGGAGAGGGGAAAAGAACGCTCTTCAAAACCTGAACTTGATTTTTTTTGTCTACTATTAAAACAAAG